ATGTCTTTCATAAAAAATAACTCAAAAATTTAAAATTATTGCAAGATTAATAATTCTACAAATTAAATTTGAAACAATAAATGATGGTTTTTTGTTAATAAGTAATAAAAGTATATACTTTTCATCATTTATTATATATAACATTTATAATCTTCAATACGAAATTCCAAATAAATAAATATAGGTTATTTTTAGAATATTTATCAACATAAAAAAAAAATTATAAATATAACTTAATTATTTTCTCAAAGCAGATATTTATATTAAAATAAAGCCAGAAGATATTTACATTAAAATAAAACCTGATAAATTCAAAGTAAAACAATCACAACTTAGAAAATAACAGTGTAAAATTTCTTAAAAAAAAACACACACTTTTATACTCAAAAAAAGCTTTCCAAAAAAGTCGAAAATTTTAAGAGGTCAGATGAATAAAAACGATAATATAATAAAGTAAAAAAATAGAGTATTATTATTTATATTTTATTTATAATTAAAATTAACACGTATACATATAAATATTTATATAATATAATTAAATTCTAAAAATATAAAAATAATTACAATATACATAATATAATAAATAAAAAAAATTAATAATTATCAACACAGATATTTTATTAAACATTTAATATATTTTTGAATTAAATACTTACTAAAAAAATATAAAATATTAATAATTATGACTGATAATACTAATATTTTTAGTATTTTTTAATAATATTTTATTAAAGGAATTTGTTTTTTGGATAAGAATTTTATAATTATATTATTTAGTAAGAATAGATAAAAAAAAAAATACTTTTATTTTCAAAATGGATTAATAAATATATTGAGAAAAATAATTTCATTTATAATATTAAATTAAATAAAAATTATTACAAAATATGAGAATTTTGATTTGATTTATAATTAAAAAAAAAAACATAATAATATTGCAAAAAAAGATAAAAAAAAAAATTAATAATTTAAAGGAAAAAAATATAAATAAAAAATAATTAAAACAACTCATTTAATCAAAATAAATAAAAAATTAAATTAAAAAATTTAACAAATTTACTATAAAAAAATAATAAAAATAGCAAAAAATAAATATAAAAAATGTCAGAAGTTATTTCTCATAGTCCCGCATTTTTCGGTCATGCAGGAGTTGCACTTGCATTAGTATTGGCAAGTAAAATTAATAAAAAGAATGATACAAAAACAAATTATATCCTCAAAAAAAAAATAAAAAAAAATAAGATGTCGGAGCAGCATACGGAACTGCTAAAGCTGGTGCAGGTATAAGTGGAATTGGAATATGGAAACCTTAAATTATTATGAAATCATTAATTCCTGTTGTTATGGCAGGTATTTTAGGTATTTATGGGATGATTGTATCAGTTATATTAATTTAGAAAAGTAAATTAAATATATTGTATTAATTTGATTTAAAATAAATAATTAATTTAATTTTAAAGTCTCGAAAACTAAATATACAGATGCTGATGGATATGCTCATTTTGCAGCTGGATTAAGTTGTGGATTTAGTTCTTTAGTATAATTTTCATTATATTAAATTATTATTTTATTTTTGTATAAAAAAAAAAAAAAACAACAAACAAACAAAAAGGCAGCTGGATATGCTATTGGAATTGTAGGTGATGCTTGTGTTAGAGCTAATGCACTTTAAGAAAAGATTTTTGTTGGAATGATTTTAATTTTAATTTTTGCAGAAGCTTTAGGACTTTATGGGCTTATTATTGCATTAATATTATCATAATGATTTTTTTTTTTTAAATATATAATAAAAAAAGGAAATAAAGATGAATTATATTTATTTTTTATATAATAAAAAGAAATATATTAGGCAATTTTTTTAAAAAAACAAAAATAATAATATTTACATTTTTTATATTTATTAATTATTTAAAATAAAATACAAATAAAATTAATTATTATTAAAGTTTAAATATTTAAAAATTAAATAAATATATATAATTTTAAATAATTATAAATAAAACATACTTATTATAAAAATTTTATTAGAATAAGTTAGATAGTAAATAATACCCATGTACAAATATTTAATTAAAATAACTTAAATACAAATCTAATATTATATTTTATATATAAAAAATTTAAAATACATATAATTTAATTAATATTTAGTCTAATATTAATAAAAAATCATTAATTTGTTTTTTAGTATTATTAATTCCAAATTAATACTTTTTTTTTTGATTTTTATTATTTCATTTTTTATTCGAAATTATTAATTTAGAAAATAATATTATCGTATTCTTCAAACAAAGTTTTTTACGAAGTAATTTATTTTTTAGATTCGCCTCTAAAACTTTCTTTTAATTCATTATTAAACTATTAGATAATCTTTTTTTTTCCAATATCTAAATTCTATTAATTTTAATATTTATTCATATTATTAGAAAATAAGTTTTATTCCTATTGTTTTATTGGCGGAAAAAATAGCATTTACTAACTAAAAAATTTCGTTTTTAAAGAAAAACTTTTCCTTTTAGTGTTTTAAACTTTTTGACTAAAATCATTAGTTTATTTCCTATCAACTAAAAATAAATCAAGCATTTTAGTATTTTTATTATTTTTTGGTAAAGAAGCAGGTAAAGAAACATGTTTTTACCTTAATGAAATTTAACATTAATCTAAATAATTAACAAAAATATTATTTTTTTTATGAAAACTTCCTCCATTTTTAGATTTACAATCTTCATAAATTTATGAAAAATTTTTCTTTTTATCAGTATCACGTCCTAAAATATTTAAATTTTATTCTAAATTTGGATTTTTGAGCATTTAATATGTTTTAGAATCCTAATAATGTTAAGAAAATATATTTTAATGATAATTTCTTTTCATATTAAAATCAATTTTTGTTTAAGAAATTGTTTTCTCCTATTGTTCTTCTGCTCTTGAACATAAATATTTGGGAAATCCAACTGAAAGTTTTTAGGCCATATTTTTTATAAATATTTTATTTTTAAAAATTATTTATATACTTTTTGTATGATTAATAAAAATAAAACTTGCATATATATATATAAAAAAAAAATATATATAAAAAATCACAATTAATTATTTATTTCATTTTCCAATTTAATTAAACTATTTTCACTACTATCTAAAGCTTCATTTTCCTCTAAAATAAGTTCATTTTTATCTTAGTTTTTATATAAAAATGGATTTTAATGTTGCCTTTAACTTTTAAGTAATAAATGTTTTTATAAAAGCTAATTATTAATATTTGTTTCTATCTTTTTACTACTAAAGCTTCTTTCCTAATTTTACTCCAAAGCAATATTAGTATTAAAATTTTATTATAAAACTTCTTTTTCTTTTATATTATTAAGTCTTTTTTCCTAAAGAAAACAAACTCTTTCGATTTATCCTTATAAAGAATCAATTTATTATACAATAAGTTCCTTTTTTTTTTCATATTCTTTTAATTTAATTCTAAATTCTTCAATTTTTTTTCTCAAATCAACTAAATTTTCACAATCATCTTCATTTAAATTTCTTCCCAAATAATTTTTTAAGTCTTATTCGCTTAAAAAAAGTACATATTCTACAAAAGAAATTTCCTTATAAATCTAATTTACCATAAAACTGTTTTAAATGAGTTTTTCTACAAGCTCTCTTAAATCTACAGAAGGAAAAAAAGAGATTATTTTTTTTAGTATATCTAATAAAAATTCATTATTCTTTTTCAAATTTTCCATTTCGATTTAATTATTTATTTCTTTCTCTTACATTTTTTCGTCTATTACATATTCTTTTTGATATCTTCCCTCATTTTCATTTTCTTCTTCTTCTTCTTCATTTTTTTCTTAATTTATTATTTTTTGTTCTTCTTTTTTAAATAATAAAACGACTTTGTTTTCTAAATCTTCCATTTCCTCATATAAATCTTAAATTTGTATTTCTTTTTCATTCAAAAGTGCTTTCTTTTCTTGATTTTCTTTTATTAAATTATTTTTTTCTTACAATGTAAAATCTAATTTGTTTAAAATTGCATTTGTTAAAAAAAAAAGATCTTCCATTGATTTTATTTCTTTTTGATTTTCCAGTTCTAACAAAAAATGAAAATTTATTTTATTTTTTTATAAAAAATTTTAAATTAAAGTTTCTATTTAACTAATATGCTTTTATTAATTCTCTACTAAGTTTTTTATATTTTCACTTTGGATGGTCAATCTTTAATTATTTTCTATTTATTCAGTTAATTCAATATTTTATTTGGTTAATATTTATATTTAATGTTATTATTCCTTTAATTTTTATTCGAAATTTTCAATATTTTATGTGGATAATGTTTAAAATTTTTAAAATTTTGTCTATGAATTAGAAGATTTATGAATTTTTGTCTATGAAGTTGAAACTTTTGAGATTCTATTTTGTTTGCTTTTGGAAGATATGCTTGATTATGATGAAAAATTCATTGTTTATAAACAAAAAAATTAATTTAAATTTTTATATATTAAACATGAACTATTAATTTTAATATATTAATATTAATAAAAATTAGTAACTTTTATTAATAAATATTTTTTTTTTTTTTTTCATTTAAAATATTCATATATTTTAAATAAAATTCTTCCATATAATTAATACATTATTATTTGATAATATAAAGGTTTTAAATACTAAATTAAAAAAGATTAATTTATTTACAAGGTTAATTAAAATAAAATATTTACATAACTTCATATATAAATAGATAATATAATAATTTACTCCAATTAAACTATATTTATAATCTCCTATATATACTTTCAGATATAAACAGATTAATAAAATTACGAATTTCTCCACTTCCGTAAGTAACACAAACCATAAAACACTTAAGAAAACCTATAAAATAACTAAACACCTAAAAATAAACATTAAATAATAACTATAAAATACCTTTTATTAATATTAACAAACCGTGATGATATAACAAGAAAAAAAGAAATCGGAAAAATCAACAAAGACATGCTTTTAGAAATTGATGATGTTAAATTTAAAGAAGACTACATGATAATGAATTACTCAGCTTTTATTAACATATACAAGTAATATATAGAAAAACTAATATTAATAATAAAAAACGAAGAAGACGGCTATATATAAACTTTGAATCAAAACTACATAGCAATATCCTAAATATTTATCTATATTTATATATATATATATATATCTAATTAATACCTATATGAAGGTAAAATAGGCAATAAACATACCATATTACCAAACAAAGTCTCGAAGAAAGATTAAAAATATAAATATATTTAAAAATAGATGTTACATTAATCCTATCATGTCCCATAATATGGAAAGAAAACCTATAACTAATAAGTGATTTACACGCAACTGAAAACGGGGAAACAACGAAACATTTACATATAGAATTTCCCGAAAAACACATTCCGATTTACTGCACTTACAATGATTTTGTTTATAAAGACTATTTTTAGCTTCCAAGGTTTGTAAATTCAGTTTTTATTTCTTATTTATAACATTAAAATATATGGATTAATTTTAATTTGCTGAATAGTTTGCGAAAGAGAAACAACTCGAAGATAAAGTTCATTAAGAGTTTTAAAATTTCTATATTATAGGAATTTATTTTGATTAGAATAGGGAGGAGGGGGGGGTTTATGGGAAATCTTAATTTATCGAATTAATCAGGCTTATTCTTTTTTTGATGATTTTAAAGAAGCAAATAGACTTATTTTTAAGTTAGAAAATATTAAATTGAATTTGGATTGATTTATAAAATTTTATTAACTTTTTTTAATTTAGTTTATTTAAAATTTTTAATTCAAGTTAGTTGTAAAAGTTTATATAATAATATATATGTTATTTAAATATGAAATTATTTTATTATATAAATTATTTATAAAATGAATGAACCAAAATTATATTAAGATATTACTTTTTATTATGCTTCTTTTTTTCTTAGATTTTTTTTTCAATCAAAAAAAAAAAAAGAGAGAAAAAGGCCATAACCTATTTACATTTTAAAAAATTTATTTTTTATATTTTTTCGATAATTTAAAATCAATAAAAATGCTTTAAAAAAAATTTTGTAATAAACTAAGATAAACATATAAAAAAAATAAAAAAAAAATCATAAAAATACTAAAAAAATATAGAATTAAAAAAGCTTATCTAACTAAATTTCTAAACCCTTAATCAATTTCCATATAAAAGTTATTTCATAACTAAATATCTTAAAGTTTACAAATAATAAAAAAGAAAATTCTATTGATTTTATAAATAAAACAATCTACCAAGCAAACAATTATTAATGAAAGAATATATACCCTTTTCCAATTAAACCACATTGTATAATTTAATTATATTTTATCCATTATTTGTTTGGCTAATGTAAATTTAATAACTTAGAATTTCAACGAAATTTCGAATTCTTTAATTGATTTTAATTTTTAATTTAATAAAACGAATTCTCATTTTCCGATTAATTTTTTTATAAAAAAAAATTACTTTCAAAGCTTTTTTTTTTAAAAGAATAGACTTTATAATATAAACTATTCATGAAATTTCCCTTTAAAATATCTACTTTACTTGGAAACTTAATATCCGAACTTTCCATTTTATACGTACTACTTTCATTTAAATTTTGTATTATTCATTTATTCCTTTTTTTCATTTAAATTTTAAATAAATTTAAAATCTTTCTTTATTAGTTATTTAACTTTTCTTTATATTTTTTAATTTATTGAACCTAAATTTAAAAAAGTTTAAATTATTCATTTAAATTTTTAAACTTTTGTTAAATTTCAAAAATATCTCTTCTTTTAAATTACTAAAAATTATTAAGAATTTTATGTCTTAAAATAGAATTTTTTACTTGTTTTTTATCCCAATACTTATCTTTGAAATCTTCCTAATTATTCCTTTTTTATTTTTCAAAAGTTAATTATTACTTTTTGGATGGTAAATTTTAATGTTTATTGTAAAAGACTCTCATATCAATAATATTATATCAACTTTTCATAAATTTTTCCATTAAATGAATAAAAACTGTTCTAAGAGGGCAATTTAAAAATGACTTAATTCCATATTGAATATATCTTGTATATTTATTTAAATATTTTTCTCAGCTTTTATTCTTACTAAAGCAAATTAATTATCTTCTATAGTCTTTTAAATTCTACCTTAAATTATTTCATGAACTAATTTTTTATTTAAACATTATAAACTAAAGTTAATATATTTATTTTTACCGTAGTTTAATTTTTAATTACTGAATTCAGATACTTACTATATTTATTTTAGCTTTTATAACCTTTATGTCTATATAAAGATTTAAAAAGTTGAAATTTTAAGTACTATTAATCATTTTTTCTCACTTTTTTATTTCAAATTCGTTTCCTGTATTTTTTAATAAATCTTTCATTTTTTCCAAATTTTCAGATTTATGTTAAAAATTCAAATTAATTTAAAAAAAATTCACATTATAGTGAATCTTGAATATTAATTAAATTAAAATTATCATAATACTGTATAGGTTCTTAATAGATTTTTAGAATTTGTTGTTTCTGTATATTACGATTATATTTTAATGTACTTATTAGTTTTTTTTTCGATTTGAATGGATTATATTATATTATTATATAAATGTAATAATCGTAAGACTTTATTAAAACAAAACTAGTTATTATATTATATATATTGAAAAATAAATAATAAAAATATTATATTTTTCATATAAAATTTATTTACTTTTTAATGATTTTTAATTTATAAATTTGAATTTTTTTTTATTTATTTTTATTGGATTTTAGCTATTAATATATATTAAAATTTTAAACTATAACTTTTTATAATTATGGTATCTTATAACTTAATAAATAATAGTTTTGTTAAATATTAAATGATTATATTGTTAAAAATAATAAACCATTATATTAAACAACTTAAAAATATAAATCAATAAATAAAATTTATATAATATATATATTCATATAGTTGTTTTGTTTATTTTTCTGAATTTCTTTTATTAAGAAATAATTTCAATAACAAAAAAAATGTAAATAAAAGACATATATCGACATTCTTTCTGATTTAAGTTAAAATAACTAAAATAATATATAAAGAAATATTATAAATATAAAATTATTTTTAAATATAATTTTATTTAATTACTTCTATACAGATATATATTATATAAAAGTACATATAAAAAATAAAAATAAATAATAATCTATATAATATAATAAAATTTTAATTTACAGGGAAAAAAAAAAAAAAAAACAAAACTAAACAAATAAAATTAGAGAAATAAATAAATTTAAAATTATTTTTTTAAAATGCAATTTATTTATTTTCATATTAAATTTAATATCATTTATTTATACTAATTTTACTTTTAATATATTTTTCTTTAAGTTTTTAAATCCAATATTCTGGAATTTAAGGTTATATTTTTTATATTTATTTAAATTATTTATTAGATTATTCTAATCTTTGTATAAACTATTTAATCTCTTCATTAGTATTATTATTACTTTTTTATTTCTTTTGTTACTTTTTTGCACTATTTTATTAATTATTTATTTTTTTTGTTTCTTAATCTTAACTTTAATCATTATTATTTTAATTGTTCTCTTCTTATTCTTTTTAATTTACCTTATTATTTTCATTTGGTTTTTATATTATTTTATCAAATTTTAGTATTTAACTCAAACATTCTAAATTAACTGCCTCCAAATTAGAATTAAACTATTCTTCTTAACTTTTAAAGTCATCTTGAAATTCATCTTCATCATCATTACATAATTATATTTATATTTTTCTTATATTTTCTTATTATTCTTAACTATTTTTTTGTTAATTTATAAAAAAGAATTTTAATTACTCATTTATTAATTCTTTTTCTTTTTCTATTATTTATACAATTTAAGTTTTTTAAGGGATAAAAATATTAGATTTTATTTTTTTTAACTAGAAGAATAAAAAATATTAACAATTTTTAAATTTAAAAAAGTACATATTAATATAATTCCAAATGCAAATTTTACTAATTAAATTTGTTAAATTATTCTAAAAATTATTAATAATTAATCAAATTAAGGTTGTATTCAGTCAACATGCTTAAAGCATTTAATTATTTAAAATTTACCTTTTTGATTTATATAAAAAGAGTTATTTTCACAGTTTTTTCTTAGTAATTTAATTACCTGATGAAATTATTTGCTTTTGTTTTATTTTTTCATTATAACAATTTTTTTTTTTTTTCAATTATTATTATTATTTTAAAATAAAGAGAATTTTTATTTTTTTTAAATAAAAATAATTAAAAACAAAAATAATCTTATTAAATTAATTTGTAAAAATTAATGAATATTTTTTTAATTTTTAAATTTATTTAAAAAAAAAGATCCTATTTAATAAAAAATAATGCATTTCATATTTATATAGTTGTTAAAAAATCGAATAAATTATATCTTTTTAATATTTTATAAAATAAAATTGATATATATTTATATATATATATATAGTAAAAAAATGAAAACTACAACAAAAACAAATTTACATGAAATCAAATAAAAACTCCCAAAAGCCAAAAAAGAAGAATATTAGTAAAATAATTGGCTGTTTTAATTTTAAAAGGGAGGAATAGCTCCATCAGATGAATTAGACATGTTATAAGACAATTTATTATTAAATGCAATACCAGATGTAGTATATAATGAAAATTATGCAAAAATATTAAATCCAGAAAATGATTTTTGTTTAGAAATACTACCTAAAGATAGTCTCTTATTATCAAATTTTAAGTTTAGGATAAATGCATATTTAGATTTGACAAAGAATTTATAAAAATATGAAGAAGTTAACAATATAACAATCTTTCCTAAAGAAGTAAAAGTAAAATACAGTGAAGAGTGGTAATAAAAGAATTCAAATAAGTAAACAAATGTTGAAATTAAGACTATTTAACAGATATCTGATGTTTTTTTTAGTACTCCATATAAAGGAACGATAAAGAAATATTCAATATTAAGTGATATTTAAAAAAATCATAGTTATTTGAAAGATTTATTATCAGTTTCTTATCAATTTAATATCTAAAAAGAATAATTACAATTCCCTTATGCTGAAAAAACAAACGATGAGATTCCTCTCGAAAATTTAACTGAAAAAAACTAAATTAAATGGGCTAATATGATAAATTTATGGGAAGACGAATTGGGTTTTATATATAATTAAATTTCACTTTTTTTTAAAAAAATATATTTATAATAATTTTTATATAATAAAAAATCAATTTTTTTACTTTTTAATAATAATTTCGCCAATTTATATTTATTTATCCACAAAAATTTATTTTATTTTAGGTGATACAGGATATACAAGTAGTGAATTCAGGTTTAGAGTTATGGGAGATTGCTTTTTTGGATTATTAAGACATTATTTGAGAGTCGATGATGTAATCATTAGGATTTATGATACTAGATATTATCATGATTTCACTTGGAATTATATACTAAGAGAATTTTAAGTTAGAGAAGATACTTATAAAAATATTAAAAGTAAAGGATTTGAATTTACACCTTAATGGAATTTAGATTAAGGTAATTTTTACTATTTATAGTTTGTATTTTTTTTATTTTAGGATAATCTCATGCTATTTACCAATTTTTGGATGTTATTCTAGTTGAAAGAGAGAAAATTTATTTTAAATGATATATATCTGTTTTTATTTATATATTATTTAAATTATATGGAAGTATTTTTTTCGATAGATATATATTTTTTGAAAAAAAAAACATTTGTATTATTTTATTTTTTTTACTTAGTAAATTAAAATATACAATGATTATGTTTATTTTTATATTTGAAAAAAGCATTAAATATTATATATATTTAATTAAAAAAAAAAAATCAAATAGAAAATGATTACCAAAAATAAAAATTCACACAAATATAATATTGAAATAACTTTCTAAAATTTATATATAAACTATAATTCATAAAACGCATAAGTATCCATAACATTATCAAGGGGTATTAATAAACTTTCTTATTAATATTTAAAAAAATAAAATAAAAATAGGTTAAAACAAATCTGAAACAAAAAGAAGGAGACCATATGAACCTAATAATAATATATTTTAAATAAACGAAACTTTTTACTTTAAAATTTCATTAAAATACAACCATAAATCTGAATATAACTCAAAAGCAGTATTTAAATAAACAATAAAATTCCTTTAACTTTTATTAAAAAATCAAAACAAAAAAAAGGTTGAAGCATATATTAACATATATAATGGTGATTAAGTATTCACTTTAGGTAAATTAACAATAAACATCGGAAAAAAAATCAATGAGTCTAATTACTAACAATAAGGAAATTTACAAGAAAATTAACTTTTAGAAGATTCCATAGACTCCAAAGCTAGATTATTATATACATTATAATACCAAAGGTTATTTATTTCTTTTTTTTTAAAAAAAAAACAAAAATCATAATAGAATCGATATGCATGAAACAGAAGATGAATAGAGCTTGATTTCTAACCATTCAACATAAAAATCTAAATTATCTTAAGCTCTTTAAGACTATTAGCATATTTAGCAACCTTAACCACCTTAACCATAGCCTAAAGCTCTTTAAACTCCAAAAAGTGTCCATAAATAAAAAAAAATAGATGATATACTAAAGCCTAAAGTTTTTAATTAAAGTTATTTTCCTTCAAATGTTTAAAATATAAGAAATAATAACCATTATAATAGTAATCATAATAATAATAGCAATATTAATAATACGTCATCATATAGAGAAAAGAGTGTAGAAACAACAGAAAGAAAGTAAAATTTAAATTATTAAAATAATAAAAGGGAAGCTTTATAATAAAAACAAGTCTAATCACATTATAAATATAAGTAAGAAGATAATACAAGGCGTGATATTATACATAAAAAAGTTTAAAATACAGATTTAGGTTCAAAATTGCAATAAATGGCCTAAGAAAAGCAAAACTTTTAATAAGAGAAACCAAATAATAAAATATATATTCATAAATAATATGCATTAAAAGATATAAATAACATTGATAGTTAGATATAATAAATGGAATAAGAGTTACAATCTACTTTTGGGATAAAAGAGAAATAAAAATCTAAATCTCCTGAAAAAACATATACTTTAGAAAAAAGGTTTACTTTTTCAAGTAGCTCTGAATAAATGAATTTTCTTAATAATTAAGATATTTAAGAAAAACAGCATGATTTTAAACTTTTAACTAGATTAGTAAATAATTATTATTATTAATATATATATTTTTTTTTAATATATATAAAAAAAGAGTGATTTAGTTGAATAAAATAGTACTTCTAATTAAAATAGTATATAAGAAATTTCATAAAATGATATAAATTAAATAAACTAATATTAAATGAATTTTTATGATAAATAAATTATATAATTAAAATAAGTGGTAAAACCATTTTTTTTTTTTTTTAAATAAAAAAAAATATTTAATAAAAAATAACAAATTAGTTATAAATTAAAGAAAATATAATAAAAGATTTACAAAATTAAGTATTTAACTTGAAAAGCTAAAATACTAACTAAAGTATATTCCTTTAAAACGGTTCAACATAAAAAGAAGACTATGAATTTTTAAAGAAATAAAATAATTAATTAAAAACTTAATTGATAGATTAAAAGAATATTTATGAGTAAAAAATATAAGAGCTGGAAAAAAAATGCTAGCAAAATAATTTATAATCGAAATAAAATAATAATAATTAAATAGATAAGTAATTTAAAACTAATTAAAATAATAATGATGATTAAATAATAGAAGAAGTAAATAAAAACGAATAGAAATTGAAATAAATACTCAATAAAATGTTAGATGAGTTTGATTTATTGAAAGAAATATAACCAAGGAATACATATGTTGACTAATATTTATTAAGAATAAATTTATTAGAAGAAGAAAATGCAAATATAAAAATTGAAAATAGTTAACTTTAATTAAAAGTATAACAGTTTTAAAATGAATTATTATAAAAAATAAATTGTAATTTATTTGGAAATAATAATGATATAATAAGGAAATAATTGTCCTTTATACAATAATAAATAGATGATTAAAATGTAAATTATATTATTATTTCTTAAAATAAATGTTAAAAAAAAATAGCTGAAGTTACTTAAAAATAAATAAGAATAAGAAAATCTTTAGTTTATATGTTAAAATCATGAAAAAAAATATTAACTTCTGCAAATGTAAAATAATGGTTTAGAATGTAAAATTATTTAAGCTAAAAAAGATATATCCCAAGCTTTAAATAGTGCTTAATAAGCAGGAGGAACTAAATTATTAGAAATTATTCAGTCGAAATTAGATTTTAAAGAAAAATAATGATTAAAAATATACATATTTATTAACATTGTTATAAAGAAAAATTAAAATAAACTAAAATTAACAATACTTATAATTAATAATTAATACAATTTTTATTAAAATTTTTATTTAAATAAATTTTTTATTCTAATTTAGATATATATAAAAAAATACATATATATATGAAAATTTATATAATATATATATAAATATATATAATTTATATATTTAATTTCATATTTTTATAAATATTAATATATATATCGTATATTTACTTTTTTTTCTCTATAAATTAAATATATTTATTATTTTTAATTTATTCAATAAATTAAATTTATATTAAATTTTTAATTTATTAAATTAAATCTCTTATATATTTATATGAATAATTTATAAAGATTATAAATATAAAATAATTTTTTTATTCTTTATTCTATTTATCCTATAAGTTTTTATTTATATATTGTATTTATTTTTTATTTTAAATTTTTTTATATATCAAATATATCATATATTTAAAGTTAAAATAATTTTAAACGATCATTATAATAATATATATATATATATATATATGTATTAATTATTATTTCAATTTTTATTTCATTTTATATTTATTCTCTTAATTTTTTTCCATAATTATATCATTTAAAAAACATCTTTAAAATATAGTTTTAGATCACAAATTTTTTTATTTTTTTTCTTAATAAAAGATAATATATTTTAAATATATAATAAATAAAATTTTATATCTAATTTATATTAAAAATATTAATTTTACACTTATATCAATAAATTCTAAACCTTTATAATATTTTTACTAGTCCATATTGTTTTTTTTTTCGTTTTTTCTATAGTTTGTTTTTAAAAGCTCAATCATAAACATAAAAAGTCCATTATCCCAATTTTTTCAATTTCTTATTTTTAGATTTTTTTTTTTTTAAATATTACATAAAAAATAAAAAAAAAAATGATAAATTTTATAGAATATTTATGTCATAATAATTAAAATTATATGAAAAGTAATTTTTATTATTCTATTATTTATAATTATTCTAAATTAAAACGAAATATATAAACTTATTATCACATTCTCTATTATAAAGATATGATAAATTAAATCAATAAAACTATTTGTAAATTTAAAGAAGTATAATTTATAAATTTATAATGCAATTTACTTAATATAAATAATTTAGATGTAATAATATTTTTATAGCATCTAACAATAAGTTTAAAGTATATAATAATATTAAAAAAAAATATAAAATACATAATATCTATATATAAAACAATAAAAAAAATTAAAAGATTTTTATATAAATTAACATTAATATTTATATATATATTTGTTTTATTTATATATTTTTTAATATAGATAATTATATATATTTTATATTATAAAAAATATTCTATATAAATTTAAAGAAGTTTATAATAATTAAAATATTATTTAATTTATTTTAGAAAAAGTTATTTCAATATTATACTAATATATTAATTCTGGAATATCAGTAATAAATTAATATCATAATTTTTATATTTTAAAACAAAAAATTTAAATTTTTTAATTTTAAAAATAATTGGAAAATATATTAATATTTATTTAAATATATTAATTATTAATTATAAAATTTTAAAATTATTAATTTTAAATTTAAATTTTTTGTACTTAATTATTTATCTAAATTATATTTTTTAATTTTGTTCTAAAATTTGACATATTGTGAAGAATTCTGAAATTTAAATTAATATATGAAAATCTTTATTGCTTTTATATGAAATGTAATTAAAATATTTATATATAATTTAAGTACATTTAATACGATATATATATAAATTTCACATAATACTATATATATTAGAGTAAAATTTACCTAAAAACTTTAATTTATTAACCTAATACAGTAGAACTAACCAAATATTTGATTGCGAAAGGAAAAAGATAATTTATCAAAATATATTTTTTTTATTGATATTCAATTTATAATTATTTTGTTTCACTTTATTTTTCATTTTATAATTATATATTTCTATTTAATTTAAAAACAAAACAAAAATTATCTATTATTTAAGAATATATAAAACTATTAAAAGAACTATAAAAAATCAATATCTTCGTTATTAAATAACTAACAAGATTTAATTTAGAAATACAATTATTTTTAAAATTTTTAAGAAATTTAAATTATAAAGTATTATAACATTAAAATTATTATATAATTAATAGCTTATTTATTTTTATATTAAAAAAATATATATAAAATAATTAAACAAATATAATTATAAATTATTTAATATTTTTAAATAATTTATTTTTTATTTTATAATGAAATCATTTTTTATATGATTTTATCTAAAATATAAAATTCTTATTAGATATAAAATATAATAAATATAAATATAAATATAAATATAAATATAAATATTAATATTTTATTTTATTTTTAATAAATTTTTTTTATATATACATATATTATATTAAATATATATATATAAAAAAATTAATTTATTATTATTAAAAAAATAATAAAATATACAATATATAATAATAAATAATTTTAATGAAATAATCAAATAGTAATTTATTATATTTAATGATGTAAATAGAAATTTTTATTGGTTTGCTATTAATTTATTTTATATAAAAAAATAAAGAAAAATAATCTATAATTCTATTTATATAATTAATTAAAAAAAAAATTATGTGCATATGTAAGTTTCAAATTTATTATATATATTTGATATATATTTTATATATTTTTTTTTTTATTAATTATTAATTATGATTTTTATATGTCATTCTTCTATTTTAATAAAATTTCCATCTATTTTTATATTTTATTGATCTTCTTATTATATAATTTTTTTGATTTTAATTTTATCAAAAACCCTTTACCTACAAATTTCAATCAATTAAAGCTATTAATCTTATTTTTTTAGCCTGCTTTACTCTTTTGCCCATTTTTAAGCTGGCCCATCAACAAATAATTAAAAATATTTAGCGGTTTTTGAAGAAGTCATAAAATGAATCAACAATTAATTATTTATAGTATGATTTAAAAAATCTTATCTAATTTAATTTTATATTTCTAAATCAGATTTATGGTATTCTTCTATATATCTTCTGAAGGATTTTAATAGATTTTTTGTAAAATTTATATGTATAACATTCTTATCTTTATTTTCCATTTTATTCTAATTTTAATATAGAATTTTATTAATTATCTTTTCCATTTTATTTTTCTTCATTTTTTTTATATTCTTATTTTTCAAGAATATATAGTTTTTTAATTTTGGTGAGTTTTCGCAAGTAGAATCTGCATTTTCTAAGTTTTATTCAAGTTTTATTTAACTTTAATTATTATTATTTGTATATTATTTATTATTTATTAAAGGATTTTATAGATTTTATAATATTTATTAAGCTTATAGATATTATTATAATTATAGCAAAACTAATAGTTATTATGGGTTTATTTTTAATAAATTTGTATTATTAATATTTTCCATTTTTTTTTTTCTCTTTTTTTTTTGATAGTATTTTGAGTATTTAAATTATTTTTTTATAATATTTTTTATCACTAAATATTTTTATAATTATATTTAAAAAAATCTTTAATCTCTTAATATA